TACTGAATTTGCTTGACAGTGTACTTATGAATGGACATAATTTGATAACAATTACAAACCATGCTCCAATATGTAGCAGTTTCACTTTTTTAAAGGATCTGCTGAAGACTAAACTTTCGATATCAATTATTTTCTAATTGCGTGCCCTGTTTGAAAACGCATGCAACAACTTTAAAAATAAACTACTGCCTTTTAAATAGCTTGAAAAACACGAAAGGGCTAGCAGCGAAAGCGAAGCACACTGCAATCTTCTTATTTGAGCTGTTTGCGAGTTCCAAAATCGTTGAATTTGAATCAAAGAATTAAGTGTACCTACTGGTATATTTAGCATCAGTGGTGAATAAATGAGGCTGCTAGGTGATATTCACTTAGTTTTGGATTATTATACATTATTTCAAAATGATGCCTTATTTTTGGCAAAACAATAATCAATTTGGAATTGTGGCGTTAACAAAAGTTCTGTGAACAAAGGCAGATTTCAATGCTTATATAATATGCTGTTTGTCCCAGATACCAACTGGTACAATTTCACAACATTGATAAAAACTTCGTTTCCAACGTCATACGCAAAAACTATATTATCTTTTCTTTTAATTTTATGGTAAATTTTTCTCTTAATTCACAGCGAGAAAACTGTTAAGTTAAACTTCTACGCGAGTTTCTTTAGCAAGCGCAACTAATCTGTGGCTTGTTTTGTTGCTTTTTTGCTGCGTTACTTGGCAGATTACATTTGCTAATCTGGCGTGTGCTTGCGTGGCACAAACTATTGCATGCACTCTGTAAATAGTCACTACAATTCTAACTATTCTAACGAAAGTCAATCGAACTCAGGCACCGAGTCGGAAGAACCTTTTGACTTACGGCATATCGTTTGATTCAGGTCAAAGACCTCTGTATATTTCATTATGGACTTTCTTGAGAGAAAGAGGTGTGATGACCTCAACAGCTATCATACAAAATGGCGCAGTTGCTTTATTAAATTATTTTGATTATTTGATGCTTCGAATGTACAGCACATCACCTTGATTGTTTAGAATATACCGAGCGCGGAGACATATTCGATATCGTTCAATATATCGCTGCATACTAACATGTCATCATTTAGTACAAGCTGTAAAGCAACTTACGCAGTACAAGTCGATAAAATATCCATAAATTTTCAGGTTAATTGATGTCAGATACTTTAGACATACTCGAAACGTAGGCCATCCAGCGCTTTTACCTTTTGAAATCAGCCCTCTATAGTTGAATAATTCTACTTTTCCATAAATGCCTCGGAGTCTGAGGTCTTACACAAAGGATGAAGCCTAGAAAACCATTGACCACAGTTAATGAAGCTAAACCTTTTGAGCTACCAATGGTAAATTACCCGTTATTTTATCATCTAAATTAGAAAGTCTGTTGCATTAGGTGCGTCGAACATCGCATTTGTATACACTAGGTATATATTTAAAATAAGAAATGTCAATTAACCATCAGCTGGAACTAGCATTGCCAGTATTGTAGCGTAACTACTGCGGCCAATCATGGTTGTCATAGACGATATCGCTAACATGATAAGTTAAAGTACTTTATAGTTTAATGGTGATTCCAAGATATTACGAAACATCACTTCCGCCTACGACTGCATGGAACCAAAGCGTTACATTAAGTAAACTCATGGAGAATCAAAACAGACGTGGCCTTATTTTAACTCAAATTAGTCTACTTTACTACAATCCCTATGATATATATAAATATATAAATATTAACATATTCCCACCAAAAAGCCGTTGTAATGCTGGCGTATGAATAATTTTCTTTCCGAAAGCAGACCGAATTATCCGCAAGGATAGCAAATCAACAAGTATACACATTGCGCTGGGCGACTGTGGTGGCCAGCTAGATATCTTTCGGTACGCAACGCTCGTTTAACGTTTCAGATGACACACAGAATATAGGTGTGGATCCCTTATCATAGCCTCATTATCACCGCAATTCTCAGGCAATAAAATTATAAAATGGAGGGCAGGACACAAAGAGCTGTCGAACCCAAAGAGGTGGGAATAGTGAAATCAGGACAAACCGAAACTCATTAGTCATGATCGATAGGTTCAACAACCCATGTCACAGAGCACGTGTTGTTTGATCCGTGGAATGCCTAGCATACCATCGGATCGCTATCAGCGCACGAAGTAATAAAAGTTGGTAGGCTAATTATGGCAAAGTTAGGAGAAGCCATTGCAGCAAAGCCTTCTGTTTGCATCATACCGGTTGAATTGTCTTAACTGCGGTCGCTTCAGTCGTCCGTAAGATTTGCTTCCTTAGACCTCTAGGGTACAGTCGCTTTACTACATCAAGCAAATTGAAGTCATCAGCCGTCCAAATTTGGTGTCCGCTATCCACCAGATGTTCCAGCGTGTAACTGTTAGGGTGATGGACGATGCCTTTCCGCAAAGCCACTGGGAAGTGCCCCGCTATGCTCTTAGACAGACGCCCGGTGGTGCGGCCCACGTACCACGCCCCACAGGCGCAGATAAACTGATATAAAATGTAGGATTGGGGCTGAACCGGAAGTCAATCATGACTCGTCGAGCTATGAAGGTAACGGATTCCGCAAGGACATGTGGTCATGCGGTCTGGAAGGTTCGAGCAGCGGCACTGGAAATTATTGTGGTCAGCAAGTCAGGCAACTTTACCATTAAACGGAACTGATAGGAACACGTCCTCCTTAGGGACAATTCAAATCACGTAAGGTTATCTCGTATCACTGCTTACTTTTTGACGAATGGTGTTGGGTAACCGTTATCTTGCAGTGTATTAAGAATACGAATCATTTCGGCTTCTAGCATCCCATGGCTGCAAATTTTCGTAGCACAAAAATGCATGCAGCGAACAAGGTTAGGTTTGTATCTCAAAGGTACAGTGCTTAGCAAGTATGTATATTAACCAACACATGTGTTCTTCCGGATTGCAAATCTTTCCCCTGAACTGGCGTTCCATCTATAAGCAACACATCCAAGAAGGCCAGCTTACATCCGTTTTCGGTTTCCATAGTCAATTCAACGAAGGATGAAATCTGGTTAAGTGATTTAACTGGTTGCAACAATCGGTGTTTGAATTTTAGATGATAAACGTAGCATCCGTATAGCGGCAATATAAATCGAACGAAGCGAGGATGGGTCCTATAGGTCCAGGCTTAATCATAGTGGGAAAAATGTCAGCAAGGAATAGTCCTGAGGGGGACCCCATTGCGAGATAGTCAGTCTGTCTGCAGTAAACTCTAACAAAATAGTTGTCTGTCCAAAGTACACAGTAATAGTAATCCATACAGTTTCCTCACCGGAATACGCACATATTTGTTTTTTCTTTCATATAATCATCTAAACAGTTGACGGCCATCAATTGGACGTTCATAAAAAAGTGACCCATCGTCTAAATAGAGCATCCGTTTTTGTCAATTACTTTCACGCACTCTACTCATTACACAAATTCAAAAGTGTCTTCCAAGGTGCCTGTGCGAAACTATTTGCGTACATGGTCCAGCAAACCCGCAAGCCATTTCGCAACGCAGTGGATAGCGGAGGCTGACAAATCGATTATCGGAGGGATAGGGAATTGTGGTTTATATACTTTAGCTAGTCCATAAAAACGTGGAGGATGAGAACCCATCGGTAGCACGCTATCTATTTGCTTCATACGCGTCAACTGCTTTAAAATATGGATGGTTTAAGCTCATCCTGCTCTCTTGTAGCTTTCTTTACCTTTTCAAAAAAGACCTTACTCCTGTCTTACAAAATGGCCCGCATTTTGGAAACTCAGTTGCACACATCCATCTGTACCCATCCAGAGCTCTTGTCGGGTGTAAGAATTATCACCTAAGGCTTTTGTTCTTAATTGCTTGATTGCTTCTCTGTGTTGCTTAGTCAGGACATCAGAAGATTTGGTTGTGTAACACATATACTTTGCGAGACATAAACCAAATTGGTTCTGAATGTACCTGACAAGAGACGACGTATGTGTTAACTCGTTTAAGTGTTACATTAAGTTTTTAAACTGGGTCTGCAGAAGCATTTGTCCACACTGAGGCGGAGAGAAGCAAAATCTTTGTCCCAGTGCTAGGGCCTCAAGTTGCAGCTGACTCATATTCAAGCTGGCTAGAATGTGGACATAATTTTCTTGGTGTGGTGGTGACACGTTCTGGTAGTGTTGGCTCTAAATATTTAAACAGTTTCGTGTACTTCCTCTCTTCTACTTTAAAATTGGATGATTTGCGGCCGAACTATCTTCCTATATAGGATGTCACACGTAAAAGGCTTCTTTGAAGCATATTATTTGTTTATTATGTTATCATATTACTAAAATTGGCTTGGTTAGTGCACTACCCAAACTAAAATATAGCGTGATCAAACGGTGTGCAGTATTCTCTCTACTTGTTTATTAGTTTGATTTTGACATACATTGTATGCGCTTTACGCATTTCAACTACAAATCTGGTTAAACTGGTCCTTTCTTCCAGTAACAAATCCATTTTCTGCTGATGGGTTTTTAATTCAATCCGGCCTAAAGCCAGGAATATATGCCAGCATTAAAAACAACTGGCACCATAAACCTTAGGTAAAATTACCCAGTGTACGAAACGAATGTGAAAGGTTATTTTTCATTTAGTATGTTGGAAGCACTTAACATTCATGCAGAGTTAAAGGCTATGAAGTAAACTACAGGTATTGGCAAGTTGTGTATCCTATGTTGTCTGTTATTGATTCTATGGGTGTGTTAGATTTGCGTAAGTAGCTACTGACCAGTAATGATTTTGGCTTCGGACAAGCTAGAGCAAATCATGTAACCAGCCGTAATACAACTTCTAAGGCGCTTCCTTTCTGTTCATTCATCCAGCTCTAAATGGAAATAGGAGCAGCGTGTATGATAAATATCTGTACTTATGGTTGAGAAGTAAGTCGCTAAGCTTTTGCTCTGCGACGGAAAGCTGAATACAAGATATCCAAGAATAGAAAACTTACGCTTGTTTGTACATCAACAATGCAGCGTGGGCTCGTTTCATTATCGACAAAATCTGGGCAAATGGTGTAATGAAGTTGGATTCGGGCCTGTAGACCAAAAAGATGGAAGGATTCGGACGTAACTGCCTACTTTCATGTTACATCGATGGCGTTACGCATTTTCCTAAGTATGTCGTTCACGCATTGCTCATATATGTTTATTTCAAAATTATCTGTGGTAGGCATATAAAAGTGGGCCTCATAAATATTGTAACATGCTACGATTTCTTCAAAATTTTTGCGTTTTAGCATTATATTTTCAAGCAAAAGTGAAGCTAACCGAATTCCAAAGATAAGAACATCCCTTGTGCTTCAGTAGCTACAAAACAGGACCCGAATTTTTAAACAGGCTGTTGTTGACTTAATTAATGCTGAACCATCTGCATTTGTCAGAGAAACAATTTATGACTGTAGACAGCAGATTACGTTGCTATAAACAGTGTGCTTTATGAGTAAATCACGCTGGGCTTTCTTACCATAGAGAGTTTGGTGCTTGTATACATGGTAAAATCCACAACAACCTAATCAAGAAGGTTTGAAATACGCTTAACCAAGTCATTTTGGATGCAAAAAGTTTAACTGAACCCAGAATTTACTTACTTATTTTACTGGTAATGTACTTTAACGGCCTCCTAAATATAAATAACTTATCATATCAATCGATCCAAGCGTATGTGGTTTCTAATTCTTTTTGCTTCAGCAAATCCTTTTGATCAACTGTGTCCACCGAAATTAACGCTTATTTCTACACTTTTTCTGGCCGCAACGACGGAGATGCCCAATCAACGGCCGATATATCTTCAAGGAATCGGTACTTTGGAATAGCGTTTAACTTATCGGGACGTCAGCACGCAAGAAAATCTTTCGAGCAACTGTTAATACATACTTGTGTGGGAATTTAGTATTCCGCTAAAGGAGCATTTGGGCGAAAAGAGAAACCTCATTCAACATACGCATTGGCCGATACTTCACAAAGCATTTTGAAATAATTATCTACGTAAATCTTTCATCTCACATTTGCGGTAGCTCTTTAAATGCATAGAATCAATAGGGTCTAAAAAGCAATTGCATTACCCAGTTAGGTCGGTTACTTGTGCTATAAATAAATATAGTTTAGTAAGTTTTGCTTGCTAGTCGGTACATGTATATATATATATATATAAGTGTATACTAGTGAGCACAATTGCTTTTAACCTTACTTCCCACTCAGCAGGAGACCTATCAGATTGGCCAGAAACTTCGAACAATACACATAGCTTGAAAATGTTGTGGTGGTAACGCAAGGCAAATTTCGAAAAGAAAAAGTTTGACTAAATTGATTCAACATACCCAAAAACAGCCTAAACCGTAAGATGCTTGGTTTACGTTTAACTTCCGGTTTATCACAAATGAAAGTAATGCGTAGAACTACTTGCTCTAAACAGTAATGCTGAATGCAAAGTTTGGGTTGAAACAACCGCAAGATGTTGTAACCGTTGGTGAAACACTATAATACTAAACAACCTGAAACATTGAGTTATTAATGTCCATGTTCTGTGTCAAGTGCCCTTTTTACATGATGTAATAAAGGTTCACTTGTTCATTTGTTTGTCGGGATTGGCCATTTGCTTGCAAACGTTTCACCAATATGCGAGTTGGCATCCTCAATGCGTTGCTATGCATTGTGCAGTCTAGCCGATACGTTTTTCGGTCCGTGATTGAGGTGCAGGTAAAGTTGAAAAGCGAGACCTTCGATTTGCATTTCATTATATTTGTTGTTACTGCCGCGGCTGTAGTGCTAACTTGTTGTTCTAGTTCCATCGGCATTCCGGAATTCTTTCGGCTGCTTTCTGTCCGTTTTGGTTATATTGAGTAGATCTCGATTTACATGCTTTTGAATTCTTCGTGAAGATTCAAGTTGCGACAAAACTCATTGCTCTTATTGTTTCGCCAAGATGTACGTGTCGATCTAAGTAACAGTTTGTCCCCCTTCGTTCAAGTACATTGTAACTAGGGATGGTAATAATGCTTTTGCTGGGTACTGCGTTTTTATCCCTTTCGTTAATATTCTTCCCGATTGGTGAACATCGTTGGCTTCCTTATTTTTGTAACATGGTACACGTCATTCCACTATCCATGCGCTTCCAGTTGTTCCTATGTTTTCCTGGATTTTTCTCACGGTGGAATATTGTGTGGGTACCACGATTAGATGGTTCTGTTGGAATAGTATGGCAACCATTTCGGATGGTTCTACATATAAGGCCAAACGATCAATCTCCTTTATATCAGTGTAAGTCATTTGCTTGCGTTTTCGTGCTTTAGATTTCTTCGGATGAAGTATCTTGGGTGTTCATTGATTTGAAATCGTTTAAATAGTTGCTGTTGCTGCTCTCATCCTTTGCTTTCATGGTAAAACACTGTATTTGCACTCTGCGTAATATCGTCCCCCACACT